GGAGGATTGGCAGATGTTAGCTCAGGGCCGATCTTCCTCATCAAAAAAAAAAGAAAAAAAAAGTAGTAAAAATATATTTTTTTCCTACAATTCTTTTATAGCCTGATGATTTCAAAAGCTGGATATGTACTAAAGCAGGCCGGAATCCCTCCCCAACTAAGGTTATCATTGTAATTGAGGAACAGACTTAAAAACTTCAAAAGAAAATAAGGTTAAGAGACTGAGGCCATATCTGAATGCAGGGTGGCAAACACTTAGTGCTTACTAAACATTGTTTTAACATATGAGCCTATGAAAACTCTCACAATTACCTTTCTTCATTAATGAAGCAATAAGGAAAGCATGTTCAAAAAATAAACAGAATATCAACAATACCTATCTTTCAAAAATAATGAGTCTTGTATAATGAATTTTCATTTACCATCCCCTGATCACTTTAAAATGTTGGGATTCCCCCCTCCCCTTACATGATCTCAACATCCTTGTGAATTTATTGTTTTCTTGCAAAAATATTTTAAAAGGGCATTTTCCAGTCCATTTGATACACCACTCAAGTTTTCACAGTCTGATTTTAACTATGTAGATATTTTGCAAAACTTCCCAATATATAGGTTATATAACCTTTAAGTTGGCTAATACTATACATATCTCATTTAGCTCCCCAAATAGATCCAGACATTTCAATTCTAAGGCCTAGGTTTATTTTCCTCAGCTTTCTTCCTCTCCCTAAGGTTGTGCTAAAATCTTTTCTTTTTCTGTCTGCCTTCTGCTTTTATCTCCTTTTTCACTTCAATCTTCTACAAAACTCTCCTTTTTCTCTACGAGTAAATCAAAGGCAAAAGTAATTTATGTATGGGAAAAGATTACCGTCTTCATTAGCACAGATAGTAAAAGATTTGCTCTAAGTCACATAAGTAAATGGCAAAACTGAGACTAGAATCTGAGTTTCCTTTTCTTTTCTACAAAGCATTGCAGATTTCCTAGAGAGTGCCAATTAGCACAATTGCATTCTTTCCAATACAGGTAATTCACTGTCTATATAAATTGTATGATCTACCCAAAGTTTTTACAGAAACAACAAATTTTAGGGCCGGCCCTGTGGCTTGGTGGTTAAGTGCGCGCGCTGCGATGCTGGTGGCCCGGGTTCGGATCCCGGGTGCGCATCGAGGCACCACTTCTCCGTTCATCCTGAGGCCGAGTCCCGCATACAGCAACTAGAAGGATGTGCAGCTACGACACACAACTATCCGCTGGGGCTTTGGGGGGAAAAAATAAAATAAATAAAATCTTTAAAAAAAAAAAAAAAAACAACAAATTTTAAACTTACGATCCCTTCTATATATTTTTTGCTTTATAATACTTATAATATAAATAAGTGTACATAAGAAAATTTTTTCTATGGGTAATTTCCTGTCATCTTCCAAGTCTTCTACAATGTGATTACATTGTTTTTGTACTTCAAAGGTTTATACTTTAATCTTTGCTGGATCCATGTTTCTCCTTTTTGTTTGAAAATGGCGGCCGCTATAATTACAGTGCACAAGCACGCCCTTGACTCAGAAGCAAGCCTCTGATGGACTCCAAATGCTGCCTCGCACCAGAGCACACTTCCTCCCAAGGAAGTGCCACCGGACCTAGAGACACATGATGCCATAGGATATAAACATGCAAAGATTTTGTGGTTTAAAAGCTTTCTATTTTTTCCTAATATAAATAATTTAAATTTCATTTGGAAATACAATTATGTTAGTGATTAAAACGCAATATTCACATGAATCTTGGAGATAGTTTACTAGATTTCAAAATAATTATATACTTTTTAAAGGTTGTTTTGGGAGGCATTCCCTCATCGCTGGGGGCACTTCAGTGAAGAAATCTGAGAAGCAATGATCTAACACATTATCTATAGCTTCAGCAATTCAAATCTGAATTCTCCTGTAATTTCTCACAACTCGACCTTGAAATGCACTCCCCTGACGATCTTATACCTTTCAGTATTATCTCTTATTTTCATGAAATAATAAGCTCAACATAAATGTAAATCTTCAGTACCAATAAGGAGGCATATCCTTAGAGGACAACATCCCATATAACGCACTATAGTTTAGAACAGGGGATTTTTAACCACCAGAGTCCTGACCAGCACTATGTTATTTAATAGACTAGAACAGAACAGAATACAAAAGTCAGCCTGTGTCATCACAGTAAGTCTAAGTTGTTTTATGAAAGGTTGTGTGTGTTTGTGTTATGTCTGTGTATGAATGCATGTATGCATGTACACTGTGTCAAAAGGTGTGACGTATTTCTTACTGTCACAGTCAAAAGTTTAAAAGCCACTGTTTTAGGGCACAGGCTTTGGAGTCCATATAATCTTTGCCAAGGTATTTAACTTTGATATGCCTCAGTTTCCTCAATTTTGTAAATGGGAGTAGTAATATAATAACATTTAAAAGTTGTTACGAAGACTAAATCCATAAAATGATTTTAAGACAATGCTGGTAAACACTCAGATATTAGCTGTCATTTAATTATGTACTGGGAACTATATAAAAAAAAAATCAAGGTACTAAAGAACAAAAATGTAATCTAAGACATATGAGAATGAATTTCATTTATAAATAATCCACACTAGAAAAAAATGAATTTTTGGAAGCAGTAATTCATGTCAAGAATTAAAAAAAAAAACACTTATACTCTTTGACACAGTTTATCTCATCCCTGTAAATTCATCCTAAGAAATTAATGGAACAGAAGAAAACAATTATATGCAAAAAAAGATGCCCATTACAATGTTATTTACAATAGCAAAGAGCTGGAAATATAAAGTGTTCACTAAGATTACAGTTATGTAAATTTACAGTACAACCTGATGAAATATTACAGGCATTACAATAATCACTACTAAAAAACTACGTAGGGAGCAGCCTGGTGGCATAGTGGTTTAAGTTTGTGCTCTCCACTTCGGCGGCCCAGGATTCATGGGTTGGGATCCCGGGCGCGGACCTACATACTGCTCATCAAGCCATGCTGTGGCAGCATCCCACATACAAAATAGAGGAAGATTGGCACAGATGTTACCTCAGCGACAATCTTCCTGAAGCAAAAAGATGAGGATTGGCAACAGATTTTAGCTCAGGGCCAATCTCCCTCACCAAAAAAAAAAAAAAACCACTATGTAAAAGCATAGTATTTTTTATTTTACATAGATCAGGTAAAAGTGAATAATAAGTATTTGTATGTAAAATATTAAAACAAGTAAAAATATATATGTATGGAACCAGAAGCAAATGAAAATTGTGTTGGGTTTTTAATTGATTTTTCTTTCTTTGATGTAATTATTGCTCCTTGTTCCCCGCTAAACAAAGAAAACTCAGTGTCTTAGTCCATTCAGGCCAGTGTAACAAAATACCACAGATGGGTAGCTTATAAACAACAGAAATTTATTTCTTACAGTTCTGGAGGCTGGGAAGTCCAAGATCATGGTGCCAGCAGGGTCGGGTGAGGGCCTTCTTCCTGGTTCACAGCCAGAGCCTTTCGGCTGTGTCCTCACACGTGGAAGGGGCCAGGGATCTCTCTAGAGCCTCAAGGCACTAACCACATTCAAGAGGGCTCCACCCTCACAATTTAAACACCTGCGAAAGGCCCCACCTCCTAATACCACCATCTTTGGGGGTTAGGATTCAACATATGAATTTGAGGGGGAGACAAACATTCAGACCATAGCAGTCAGTTAAAAGGATTCAGCTCAGTTTCACTGTTTTCTTCCTACTACCTAGCTAAATCTATGAGACAGGGTAAATGCAAAAATGGGACAACTAGAAGTTACCCAGTAATTATAAGTCAAACTATTTTTATTTGATGTATGCTAGGGCCTAGTACATATTATGTAGGTTCAGACTCAACAGCAATAAGGTCTATAAAACACCAGACAAATTTTTTTTCTTTTTGGCTCACGTAGAAGCTACGTTTGCTCTCTCCCAAACTATCATGACAAGGGAAAATTGCTAAGGAAAACTAAGGTGTCTGGAGGCTAGCTTGTCTCACTCATTCATCTCCTGTCTCTCCCCTTCCTTTTTAAAATGATCATAATACAGAGTTGAGGAACATCTTAATTTGATATACTTGGTAAAGTTATTTGTTAACTTTATTATTTGATGATAAAGTTATTTGGCAATGTTCTTAACTTTAAGTTATTAAGTTTGACTTTTTGGATCAAATAACACTCAAGAGAAAAAGTATACACAGTTTTCATCATATTTTTAAGTTCCTGATTTATGTTCATTCAAGATCTTGATTCACAGATTAACTTCAAACTCATTCCCAAACCAAGTTTCAATAATTATGTATCTAAGGCCATTATTCTTGAATTAATAAATTATACAGTTTCAGAATGCTAAGGCTAAACATCAGGCTAAATCAAAATATAAACAAATTTTTGCTTTAGTTGTTGATGACTATAAAATGAACTAAGCACAAGCTTACAGATCGTTAGCTGTCCAAAGTCAAGTTAACAGACTAAATCAAGAGCAATCAACTTCCACCTAGCAGATCTAGAGTATCTCACCTATTAATAGGGATCCTAGTTTGAAAACAGTTGCAAAAAATTAAATGTCTAAATCTTTAATAACTTGAAAAAAATCTTCCTCTCTCCTTCCTTCCCATGAAAGTAGATTTTTGCCCTCCATACAATACTTGAAAGCTCCTGCATTCAACCCTGAGAAAGATGGTTTTTTCCTTTGAAAATGACAGAGAGACATCAAATCGACTTATACTTCCAACATGTGTTCAGGTATTAAAACTGCTTTAATTAACAAGGTCTAGGAATATACTCCTTTTATAAATAAATAGTTGTACTAAACATCAAACAAACAAAAAACTGGCTAGAGCCAGGTCTTTGCCTTATAGTGTCTTATCCAACACATGTTATATCTATCTACCTCTTCAATCCATCTTTGCTCAGAACATGAAAGAAAATGTTCACAATATATATTATTTTCTACTTGTTGGAATTTTTAGATTTTAAGTTCTTCTGAGAAGTTGCTTTTTAATATTTAAACTGAAATATAATTTCACCAGCACGTCAATAATCCTTTTTAAAAAGAAACCCTAACTTCAGGCTAAATGAAAATGAGCGCTGATTATTTCATGAACATACTACCTTTCTTCTCAAGAAATAAAAGTTCTTTTCAATATTCTCTATCTCTAATCAAAAAATGTTATTGAGGGAGGGGAGGTTACATTTATCTTAACATCCCTCTGAAGTAGGGACATATTATCCTGGTTTTACACATGGGGAATCAAGCACAGAGACAGGCCGTGTGATTTGCCAAAGTCTTAATGCCACAGTCAGCAGTAACCTCAGCATCATGTTAACTGTGAACAGTAAGTTAATCATAGAAATTAGAGATCCTATCATTTCCAATACTCTCAACTCTTCCCAGCTAAACCATTCCCCTTTCTTCTCCTCCTCCCCCTGACACCCTCCTCCTCTTCAACCTCCAATTCCAAAATCCTTACTGTCTCTTTAAATTGCAGAGGCAGATGTCAACATTCATACTCCCACTCTAAGTCGTTCACATCCCACACACACATCAAATACACTGGCGCTGGCTCAGGATTCCTCTCCACCTCAACTCCTGATACCAACCCAGCAACCTGAACAGCCATACTGTTGACCTTTTTTTAATATCCTAGCAGATCCTGGCTCCTCTACTCCAACAACCTGTTTCTACTTTAATCTTCCCTCATATGTTATCACTGGAGTCTGTGTTCTCTGACCAAAATCTCTCTTTCCATTTTTCTCACTTCCACTGTACATGCTTTTTAACTTTATCAAAACTTCCAGTCCCCCAAAACAGCTGTCAATTCTGTGTCTACCTATCACTTCAAGCTTATTTTTTTTCTTTAAAACCTAGTCTTGCCATTAAGTATATGAGGTGGAGTGTGGTATAAATACAGTGCAATTTAAATCTCCGTTCTGCCACTTACTCCCTTGTGTGGCTGTGGGCAAGTTACTAAACCTCTCTTAAGTCTCAGTTATCTCCTCTGTAAACTATGGATAATACTTAGCTCACAGGGTCGTTAGAAGGATTAAATCTAGCCCAGTGTCTGACAAGCCGTAACACAGTTTTGACAGATTCCTCTTTCCTGGGCCTCGCTCTACCAATTACCCACCTTTCCTTAAATCTTTTTTTCTCTTCCTTTCGACTACTGACATCACCTTGTCCAACAAATAATCTCAACTCCTAACTCCCCCCTGAAGGAGTATAATCTTACTCTTTGCTGTCTCTACTTCATCACTTCTTATTCTGTCTTGAATACTTTTTCTCTGAACTGTCCTATCTCTCAAGACTTTTCTGTCTTTTGGTGTCTTGTCTTACTCTGCCTTAAAAAGGCTACTGTTTCTCACTATTCATCTTTCCATAATATTTAATATTCACCTTGGGAAATTTTCCACTGGCTTCAACTATTATATATGCTGAAGATGTCACCTCTAACCCTACCCTCTTAACCTTCTTTAGGCACCAAACCTATACGTACTTAAAACGCCTTATGAGACATTTTCTACTTTGATACCTAGGACAGGCACCTACAAACTTTAAAAGATCAAAATTGAGTTCTTTTCCTGTTAAAAACCTTCTTGGCCCCTTCCTACTTCATTTAAAACCATCACAGCAGCCCAAATTTAAAATGTTGAAGTCATTCCACACTCTTCCTCTACGCCTTCCTTCACAACCAATCATGTACAGATTTACTGAATGTGAAGGTCCAGCCCATACTTACTGGACATCTGAACTGCCTCACAAACTAATTCCCAACAGTTCCAAATGCACTACTTCCAGCTGTTTTTTGCCTTGATTATTAGAGCTTTCTCATCAATTGTAGTTCATTTTCTTCTCCCTCCAATCTACTATCCAAATGAGTCCCAGTATTCAGCTTTCTACACAAATTTGATATTCCTCCCTCACTTAAAATAATGGTTCTGCACTGCCTATATGATAAACTTAAGCTGGTGTTTTTCATTAAGTATCCTTACTGACCTAAGAGTTTTGGTGAAGAGTGAGGAAGGGTAGCTTGAAAAACTAATTTTCTTTCAACTCTTAGTCCTTTATCTGAAAAATTAATGGGAACTCCGTTCAAAATTAATGTTATTAGACCATTTAAATACATTTTCCTCAACTTTTCAAGAAAAACTGATTTCCAGGAGCTTCTGTCACATTCATCTTGTGAGTCTCATGCTCCAGGCCTAGCCACCACACTTTGCCCCAAGGTTGCTGATACATACTTAAGCACAAATCTAGACTACTCACAATCTGGCCGCCAACACTCTTCTTATCCTCCCCCACCACTCCTCCAAACAAGTGTAACCAAAAAGCTACTGCTTTTCTTCAAACTTTCCTTTTCTTCTTCTATGCTTGTTTTTGTTTTGTTTTTTCCCTCTCTTCTTGGAATGCCCTTCTCCTTTCCATTGTCCTCATCTCTGGATGACTCCTAAAATGCCACCTCTTTTCTGAAGACTTCCCTCACACACAACTCCCCACCCTGCCATCCACCTCCAGGTAGAATCACTTTCTCCTTGAGCCCTGAAGAACTTCATAAGCAGAGCACAGCAGCTTATCACATTTCAGAGGCTTCTAGTTCCCTTGTTGGATAGTGAAAGCAGTTATCAGGTTTTACGTATCTTTGTATCTCCAGGGCTAACTAAGGAAAAGTCAAGTGCCTAGTAGACACTCAAATATCACTAAACTGAAATTCCTGAAGAAAAAGTTACAAATGGAGCTGTCCTGAAAAACTACGAAATTCATATATATGTAATTCAGCAACTAAAATTCTGAAATGCTTTTACATATTATTAAGGGGGCAAACCCATAATTGATCCCTAATTCCAATCTCAAAATATCAATGCAATTCACAATAAAACAGTAAAAAAGTTAAGAAAACATTCTGATCTGGCGAAAGTTACGATAACTTTGGAAAAGTGGCTCAGAAAAGTCATAATTCACTAAATTCCTAACTAATAACTAAATTTTTAGTTATCCTACTATAGGATACTAATAAAGCCATTAACAAATACTGAGTATTTGTGAAAGTAACCTCTAACCAATGAATAGACAAACAAGATGTGTCTAATAACATGCAATAGTATCATTAAATTTGACCAAGAAAACAATGACATTCTACACTCCAAGCCATAACTGCCTTTATCTAATATAATCCCCGTTATACAAATAAAACTTAGAAATAAAAATATAAAACTGATTAGATTAAAATTTAATTTCCAATTACTCTTGAATTTACTAAAGCTTATTCTTTGCACTCTAAATGTAGAAAGAAAATGCCTCCCACAATAATTCAAAAATTTCAGATACAAGGCAATTTCCACCAGTCAATACCACACTTATGAGTAACAGGACTGATATATTAAATGTAGATTTCAGAAGTACAAAGAAAATCACTTAGGATTCTAAAACTCTTGAACTAAAAGAAATCCTAAAGTTGATCAAATCCAGCACTTTCATTTTAAATCAGAGAAATTAAAAGTCTAAAATTCTAGGGAGCAGAAAAATAATATAAATCTATATTTATGAACATTTATCTTAGAAATCTATAAGTTATGAACATTTACTTCCATATTATGGGCAGAGAAGGATGACAATATTGCATTTCTGGCATTTAAGACTGTATCATTTCTCCTGCTTAATCTTCCAAGGTGATAAGCGACATTGATTTTCTCATGTTGATCCATTCTTGAAACCTTGAGATAAACCTGGTTTGACTGTGAGGCTTTGTTTTGTTTTCACTTCACTGAATTGAGTTTGATTTGCTACGTTTTGAAAATTCTCAGCCATTATCTCTGAATATTTCCTCTCCTCCATTATCTCTTCTTTTGGAACTGTTAGCTGTATGTTGGACTTGTTCATCTTATCCTTCACGTTTCTTAATCTTCCTATTTTATATCTCTACCTCTGGGTTTGGGCTTCTGGATCTCAGTCTACAGCAGGAGACTTCTAACCTTATGTGCCACTGACCTCTTGGGCAGTCTAGCAAAGCCTATGGCCCCCTTCTCAGAACAGTATTAAAGGCTTAAAACAAAATACATAGGATTACAAAAAAAAATCAATTATAATAAAATAATTATCAAAATATTTTTAGTTTTGCTATAGTAATATACATGCTTTATTGAAATATTAAAATATAAGCTCTAGCAATGGTTTAATAACTATAATAATTTCAAACTGGTGATGACTATAAGTGCTACTTCCAGATATCTGTAATAACTGAACAGCAATTGTACTATAAAAAAAAAAAAATCTGGGGGCCAGCCTGGTGGCGAAGTGGTTAGGTTTGCACATTCCGCTTCAATGGCCCAGGGTTCAGAGGTTCGGATCCCAGGCATGGACCTACACACCCGTCATCAAGCCAGGCTGTGGTGGCGTCCCACATACAAAATAGAGGAAGATGGGCACAGATAGCTCAGTGACAATCTTCCTCAAGCAAAAAGAGGAGGATTGGCAATAGATGTTAGCTCAGGGCCAATCTTCCTCACCAAAATAAATAAATAAATCTGATTTCTACGGGGTTATGGGTTGAATTGTATCCCTCCAAAAAATTATGTTGGGTACTAACTACCAGTACCTGAGAACGTGACCTTATTTAGAAATAGGGTCGTTGCAGGGGTAATTAGTTAAGAGGAGGTCATACTGGAGTAGAGTGGGCTCCTAATCCAATGACTTGTGTCCTTACAAGAAGACGGCCAGGTGAAAACACAAGAGACACACAGGGAGAACACCATGTGATGATGAAGGTAGGGAATGGAATTAGGCAGCTGCAAGCCAAGAAATGCCAAAGACTGCCAATAACCACCAAAAGCTAGGAAGAGGCAAGAAAGGACTCCCCTACTGGTTTCAGATGGAGCATGGCCCTGCCAACACCTTGATTTTGGACTTCCAACCTCCAGAAATGTGAGACAATAAATTTCTGTTGTTTTAAGCCATCCAGTTTGTGGTACATACTTTGTTACAGCAGCTCTAGGAAACTAATACAATTGCTGCCACAAGTACCTCTAATGCTACTATGGTTTGTTGGCATTTCCTTCAACTATGAACGTAAAGAAGTTTCAGTTACAGATTGGTAAAAACACTCTAAATTCTAAGAACTCTACATCCAAAGCAATTTAACACCTCAGTCTAAGATCCATTACTAATGAACTATGTTTCAACAAAAATAAGGAACTATGTTTACACAGAAATACATCAATAATTGTTTTTTCATTTCAAACCATTCTGAGTGCCATGAAAACAACATTTTGGGGATTTGTTAATGACTATGGTTCTGGACTCTAAAATGAGATGCAGCTATGACATAAAACTTGCATAAACAGCTAATTAATTCTAAATATTAAAAATGGAAAAATTCATTATCTGCATTAACTTCTTAAACCAATTAAATGTAAAATTCTCCCTTAGTGTTAGATTAATATGATTTGTATGAATAATCAAATGAAAAGACTTACTTCTGATACTTCTTGGAAGTAAGGAAAGCATGAGGGCTGGTATCTTGTTAGTATATTCCTCTTAGAACTACCCAAGTTGGTGTTTAAGCTCAAGAGCCTTTTGCTCACTTACTCATCCACAGGCCACATTTATTTAAAAAAAAAAAAAGAGCACTAGAAAGTTCCCCATCTGTGATGTATACATATATTATCAAAGACACATGGCTATTAAGCCTAAAATAAGAAAGTCTAAAAGGTTGTGAATGTACCAATTGTTTCCAAATTTTTTACCTTGGTCCTTCAAAATTCAAACTTTTACTTCATCATCCTACCAGATCTCCACTGGAAGTCTTTCATTTGCTTAACTATGTCAAAAACAACAATATCATAAAATTAACCAATTAACAAATATGTATGTTACAAGTCTAGTGATTTGCAATGTGTCTATCACTGTATTAGTTTAGGGTAATTTAGCACAGGAAGGGCCCATACTGACACTTAGTTCAAATTCCTTGACTTACAAATGGGCAAACTGAGACCCACGGTCACTCGCCCAGAATCACAGAATAAATTAGTGATAGCTAAGAGAGAAACACATCTCCCAAGTCCAAGTCCAATGTTCTTTATATTATACTATACTGCATAAAAGTTGGTAAGAGGTAAATAAATTATCTGCAAATGCCTTTTGTATGATCACTTGAATTCTATTTATAATACAGTATTTAAAAACAGTCTGGTTGCCCAAAAACAAGTTTTTTTAAAAATCGATTTCATCTTACCATCCAGCACATTTTAAAAAATAGGAACAAGATCTCATTTCCACCTTCAAAATTGGCAAAAATTTTTTCAAAGAGAACTGGACAAAACATTTCAAAGCATAAGTACTCTCATACACTGAGTTTTTTCTTTTCTAGAGGGCAATTTAGCAGAAACAATGTAAAAAACTTAAAATTTGCATCTTTTTTAACTCCCATCCTAGACTATCTCAAGAAAAAAGGAATAGATCTGGATGAAGACAGAACTCAGGATCAAATGCAGCATTGTTCAGAAATAACAGAAATATCCAACAATAGTAGACTGATTAAAACTAACATACTATACACTGAATATAATGTAGCCATTAAAAACTATGTTCTAGGAAATACTTAATGACATAGGAAAATATTCACAGTATATTAAGGTATGACAGTATGCAATTCCACTGTCGAGAATACATGTATATACATAAATTATATAATACATGTGTAAAGTATTATAGTGCTTGGTATGTAGTAAAAATCCAATAAATGGGAATATGAGTCCTCATCAACTTCATAGGAAAGGAAACATTTAATTATATATCAAATGGTAAGACTTATTATCTGAGTGGTAGAAATGCCAATACTAAATTATTATTACTTATTCACTTTAAAGACCATTTTGTACATTATGTGAAACAAACTATTACTCTTGTATGAAGGGAATTATTTTTTTAAATGGCACTTTTAATGTAGTTCCAGTTCCTAATGAAGACTGGAAAAGAAAAGCAGACTTTTACCACCCCTTCCCCAAGTTTGGCAAAGCATAAAACAAAGTCTTACACATAATAGATCCTTTGCTAATTCTTGATTAAATATATACTCACAATCAGCCTCTGAGAGCTATCTATCTCTACCCAGAACTCTAATTCCAAATAATAGAGCATGTACTAGAGGATTTCAAAATGAAGCCTCTAAAGGCCTTACTGGATTTTACCATAATGGCTATCTAGAAAGGTTAACAGTTTCCAAAGATATTGGTGATTTTCACTTTTTTTAAAGGCTGAAATCAGGTGAAAAAACATTCAAGTGTTAAGAAGTGTCTACTGTAATTAAATTCCTATTGATTGTGGCTTTAAAAACAAAAAAGAAAAAAAATATACAAAAGATCCAAATAAAATCCCTATTTCAGGGCAGTTTTAAACTATGCTAAGGCTGTAAGGGCATCTGCCATAATGTATCTCTTTTGTTTCTTCATAATATATGATTATAAATGAGAAATTGCCATTTCAAAACATTATTTTACATATTAAAGATGAGATATATAAATTATCAGAATAAAAGTTACATTCCAAACAAGTTCAGTTTGTGGTTTAGCTACTGCACAAACAATGTTGGCTCTAATAAAACTGATTACCAGATGAACACAGCACATTCTAAAATAAAAAAATTCAAGTAAACCCCCCAAGAGTTTGTCCCCATGAAGAGTTAACATATAGTGAAATATCATATGTTAAAACATATTATTCTTGTCCTATCAAAACTAATATAACCAAGTCCCTGGGATATAACTTATTAATAAAACAGGAGAAATTTGTGAAAACAGAATTCTAAAAGTCTGGGTGAGGGAGGTCATTTCCAAGTTTTCCCATACTAAGTACATTTAAAATTTTTAAAAAAAAAAAGCAATCCTCCCAGTAAAAATTGACATTAGGTGTTTCAAATACCAACATCTTTGGAATCAAACCACTGGGAATATTTACAAATTTTTAGTATCACAGCGGTATCATCCACTGATATCACTACACCAAAAACTTGCACTCTCAATTTGTCCATGCCAAGTACTACAAAAAGACCCCATTTAGAAACAATATATTTTACACCTGTCAATTCACATTCCCTCATTTGCTTTTCTATTAGCTGCATCCAAAAAGGAGGTATTCAATATTTTACTTTAAATATGGTAACGAATCTTTTCCCATCTCTACAACAGAACTTGACATTTTGATCCAGGCTACTTTCTTTAAAGATACCAGGAAAAACTATCGTCATTCCGTTCAGGATTTTTAGCAGTTTTTCTCCTAACTCAGCGTTATCTGAGATACTTCTTGATCTCTCTCAAAGTAGGTCTAATCTGCGGAAGGCAATGAGACAGTGTACTGCACTGTGAATGGACAGCCAGGTATTTTATGAATGGAGGCAATCACGTGATCCCAGCACCTCCCCGAACTGATATTTCCCACATAACTGTGTCAACATTCTGAGAACAGGGGTAGTTGTTTGTGTGTGCGTATGTTTTTGAATTTAACCTATAACTTCGAATTCTCCTTACTTCCTGAACTCAAAAATCTACATGAAGACAGAGTCAAGCTTCGAATTTTTTTCTTGGGAAATTCTTTCAAGATGTCCAAGGTGATGGATGTTTAATTATTTTTTTATGAATGAAGAGTGTGCTATGCAAATGAGGGCGATTCACAAAAAGAGAGAGAACATGGCGGCCACTTCTGCTTCTAGACTGCACTGACAGTGCAGCAATCTACCTTCTCCCACACCCGCTCATGAGAAGAGTGTGTTGGGGGGGCGTGGGGGGCGGGCAGGAGAAACGCTACTTGGCATTTCTCAAGCTATTTTATGTTAAATAGGCCTAGGCTTTGGATTTTCAAGTTTTCTCTAAACGGCCTGACTTGAGGAATGCACTTTATTTAAAGGAATGCATCCTAGGACTAGTCCTAACTCACTTAACTCTTTCCAACCCTACAAAGATAAACAAAACTTGAACTTAATTACAAGAAAAAGGATGCTAATATTCTGCACGGAATTAAATCCCATCTCAATAGAAAACTGTTACCGCACCATTATTCCCCCAAGCAGCTGTTACGTTAAAGCAAAACATTTAAAAGGCAAAGTATTTCGTTTGAAAAACATAAGGACAGCCCAAATAAACAAAAGCTTAAACCGGGATGCTCTAGAAGTTAATGAATGAAGTCATCAACTTGTTCAGCGATGTAAATACTGTTATACCAACGTAAATGGTGTGTTTCAATATAGCTGAAGGATAAACATTAGCATTCAAAATTCTTCTATGCTCCTGATAGAGACACGTCCAGTATTCGCGAAGGTAAAATATAATAGTTCACCATCTCCCACACTCCAGGTGTCTTCAATGCCATTAAATTCTAAAAATGTTTCCCTAGCCCCATTTTTTACCAGAATCTTACAGGTCCTAAGTATAAAAAAGGGGGGAAGGGGCGGAGGCTTAATCGGTATTTAAGAGTCACTGACTCATCGAATTAAGATTCAAGAGCAGTTTGCTGCAGAAGGTGCTCCCACACATTAGTTTCCAAGTGAAATAGCTATAAAGGAAGCAGGACGGATATTCAGGATATGTTGATTGGTATGCTAAGGAGAAAAAGGACAGGCCAGGGGTCTTCCAGGCAAAGGGGTAATTTCCACCCCGCCTCCATCCATCCACACTGCTCCATCTCCTGGACAGACAATTGCCATCCCACCCCAACACTCAACGCCCTCCCCCAGAAGAAAGCAATTAAATGCGGGGGGTGAGGGGTGGGTTTGCTGCCATTAAATAAAATGGCTCAAGAAATCAAATGTTATCTTCACAACAAGATGCACCGAACTCTCCAGGGCTGCAAGCTTTCCGGCACCCAAGTCTCCAGGGGTCTGGGGGAATGCTGAGGAAACAAGGGGGGCGGGGGGCTAGCAATCAGGATCAATGAGGCGCTTACTCGTTGTCAGAAGTCGCCGTCTCCTCGCTCATCTTTCCCTCACCGTGATCCGATCTGGAGATGGAGGAGCAACAGCAGGCGGAGGAGCAGCAGCAGCACCGGGGGGCAGGAGGCAGTGGCGGCCGGGGGGGCGCGGGGGCAGCGGCTCAAGGGCCTCACCATGGTGGATGCCTCACCCGGAACGGTGCCCCCCCAGCCGGGAACCCCGGCCACCCCCGCAGGGGGGTGGCGGCAACAACCTCCGCCGTGGCGACCCCAGCCTCTTCCCCCGCCTCAGCGCCCAGCCAAGGGATCCGAGGAGGCCGGGGAGGGTGGGTGGAAAGGAAAAAAGGCCGGGGGGCTGCGAGGCTGACTGGAGAGCGGCTCCTCTGGCCACTGGGGTGGAGCGCGGCGGGGTCCGGCCAGGAAGGAGCGGGCGGGCGGGCGGAGAACCCGGGAGCAGAGGCGGCGCTTCCCTCAGGGATGCGGCGAGGAGGAAGCAGAGCTCCGCTCGGTGGGGGCCGGCGGGGGGGTGCCGAGCCCAGGCTCCGGGCGGCGGCGGCGCGGTCCTGCCGGAGCCCACCCCACCATCTCCCGCCTCGCCGCCGGCTGCCCGCTCAGCCCCCGGCGGCGACCGGGGCGGTCCTCAGGAACGAGCCGAACCGGCGAGGGGCCTCACGGCGGCGGATTCCTCCAGACACGCTCCAGCCCGGACGAGTCCAGAGCAGGGAGGAGGGGGCGGCGGGGAGCGGGAGGCAGGGGCAGGCGAGCCGACCGCCCCCACCCGGGCCGGAGGAGAGCGGGCGCGCCCGCGGGGCAGGGTGTCGAGAAGCGGCGGGAGAGCGGGCAGAGCGGCCGCAGGACTCCTCCAGCCGTGCCCACCAGCAGCTCGGCGGGCCAGCTCCTCACGCCCGCCAGAGGGGAGCCGCGAGGGGGGCGGCGGAAGCGCTCACGCCGCCCGCTCCTTCCGCCGCCGCCGCTGCCCGAACCGGGGGCGCCCGCGGGAGAAGGAGGCGAAGTAGTCCCTGGCGACTTCTCCCGGACGCCGGCTTCCCCCGGGGCCAGAGCGGGCACGTTGTGGGGTTGCTGAGCGGGGTGCCCGCGCTGTGAGGGCGCGTGGGTAGGAGGACTAAAAGCTGCGGCCTCCGGGCGAATCACTGCAACTCGAAGTCGTGTGCAGCATAGCAAGTTTCAGGAAAGTAGTTCCCTCCTCCCTTCATTTCCCAAATCGTTGTCGAGCCACCGAGCGGGCAGAGGAGGAGGGAGGCGGAGGGATACGCCAGCACCGTGCTCGGTGTGCGTGCGCGCGCTCCAAACTCTTGGCACGCTGCGAAAGGGGGCGGGGGTGTGAGCTGCACGGGGAGCTGCTTGGGAGCTTGCATTGTTGCGGCGCGTTACTCCCCGTTACTCGTTTTAGAATATCCGGGTTGTTTGGACGAAGAGGCTAGAATGACAGTGTGCTCAAGGAGAAAATTGGAGGCTACACTGTTCTGCCGAGCGCGCGCGCGTGTGTCTGTGTGTGTGTGTGTTTTCCTTGCAGAGCAAAGAATGGAACTGGCATGAGTTCATCTTTAGTTGGTGGGGGTTAGAGGGAGGGACTGTACAAAGAGAGCTCCGCCTGCTGTCCCTCTGGTTGCATTGCTGCAGTCCCCCAGCTGCAAGCACAGCGGGAGCGCGTGTTGGGTGTGTGTGTGGGTGTGTGTGTGTGTGTGTGTGTGTGTGTGTGTTAGAGAGAGACAGAGTTTTAATACCTTGGATTCTTACTGCACCAGGGGTATGCGGTGCAGGGCATTCATCTCTGAAAGCTAGAGTGGTTGTTAATGGAGAACGACTTCCATTGAAGCCCGGGGTAGGCGTGTTACATGAATCTGGCGCAGCCAGAAGCACAGGAAATAACTCCCGCTGCGAGTGAGGTTGCATAACTATAGCGCAGAAGATGCCTCTGTGGCACGAACTGCTCTAAACGGAGGCGGAACGATTACTGAATAGGCAGCTGTCACGTTTGCATTGTTAGAGGACAATGTATGCATTCATCTCAAAAGGTTTTTGCACAGAAACCTGCTGGGGTTGCGGGCCGGAGTCTGGGGTCTGCCCGACCGGAGGACTCAGCTCCTGGCTCTGTAAATTCTATTATCTTTTCTCTACCTAGAAAGCCAGCCTATACATGATCGGGCCTGGGGGACTGAATCCCAAGTTCCTGACGCATCTCCCTAGGTATCAGTCTAGCTCTGTGCGCAATGCTTTTCTCTTCATTCTCAGGTTTGTGCGTCCTGAGAATGAAGATTGCTGCTCCTGCCACCTTGAGGGATAGAACATTTCCTGTGGAAGAAGAAAGTGCGAGAACCTCTCAAACAAGCCAGCACTCCCCTTCTGCCGTCCGTCTCCTGGAAGTTTCAGGATTGTTCTCGGGAGCGCATCCACTAGCACGTTAACAGTGTTTTGCACAAAGGAGGTGCTTAATAAATGTTTGATGAATAAATAAAGGAGCTAAACCAGTCAGTCTGCCCCAAAAACCATCCCGTTGATTTCTGAGGTTTCTTGATTTAACTCTTGCTTCCTGTCTTGCCAGCAGCATTGTCCATACCCAAAGGGAAGAAGGGGCAAAGTTGGTGACAGGAAGAGGTGAGGGGATCTGCAATAGACAGAGGTTACCTCTGTTACCTCTGAACCTGCGTTTTTGGTCTTGTTCCTGTGAAGAACCTATAACTGGGAGTGTTGGTACTGGCCTGCTCTCCTTCCATTACTACTGCTAATCACTCTGGCTGCTCAGATTTCAGTCAAGTCCCCTCAGTCATAATTTGTGTGTTCTAGACAAATTACTTAAACTCTGTGCCTTTGTAAAATGGGGATAATAGTACCTAATTCATAAAGCTGATGTGCTGGTTAATGAGGTAATAATATACATGAAGCACTTAGAACAGATTAAGAGCTCAATAAGTCCTAGCTCTTACGATGATTTTGTAAAATGGAGATAGTCAGAAACGCCGTGACAGGGTGGTGGCAGTTGCTCTGAAGGTTAAATGTAAAGCATTCAGTAGCCTTGTTCATTCAGTCAACAAATAACTAGTGGTTTTCTCCCGTGTACCACTCGTGCTAGACACACGGCCCAGTCCTCAGTAAGTCATTAACAAATGGTCATTCTTAGAGTCATTATGATTAAGTAAGGACAAGGAAAGTTGGGTCACTTGCAAAGGCCTCCTTTTCTTTTGAAAAAGATTTGCATCAGTGTGAGATTCAAGTGCATCAGGGAAATGACCCATTACAGGCTTTGGGAGAAAATATGAAAACCACCTTGGCTGTCACGTGGAAGACACTGTGCTGGTCACTTTCGCACACATTGCTTACCTAAAGGGGCAAGATATGATCAATACCCCGAATTAATGCTTTTTAGATTGTTCCCAATCCCATGACCCAGACACAGTCACCAAACAATTCCCCATGCCATTCTCAGGACACCTGTGTGCCCTTCTTAAGGTGCATCTGTAGCTCTCTCATCTCATCCAGTTGTTGAAGATCTTACCAACTTTTTAAAAAACTATCTTGGTCTGGCCCGAGCACTGAGTCTTCTACTCTGAAAACATCAGAAATGGTCCTACGATGAGACTCAGAGCCCAGGGGGCTTCTAGTCTGACTTTCTATCAGCAACTGCCCTAAACACAAGAGGCCTCCCCTGGTCTATTCCAGTGTTTGGACCTTAAGAGGTACAAGAGACATAGCAGCCTAATGCAATGTGTGAGATCTTATTTGGATCCTGATTTGAACAAATATTTTAAAATTTGAGATAATTGGGGAAACAAAAACTAACTGGATGTTGATGATAATAAGGAATTTTTTTTAAGTATTGGTGTTGTAGTTGTGTTTTTTAAAGTCCTTATCTTTCAGAAATACATACTGAAATATTTTCTTCAAAATAATCCAGTGGAGTGAGGAGTGGGGGGATGTGGGTAGGGATATAGATGAAACAAGATTGGTTGTGGATTGGTGATAAGCACATTCTCTTTACTATTGTATATATTTGAAATTTTCCATAATAAAAAGGTTTTTTTAAGTACACGGCAAGTACCCCTTTAATGCAGATTCCTAGGCCCCAGTCCAGAGATTGTGATCAGCAGATCTGTATTGTGCTGACAAACCTACTTTTCCAGAAGTATGCCAGGTACTGAGTCCTTCTAGGCCTTCATAGCCTTCTCCCCCTTTCCTTGCAACCGCTTGTGTCATCCCATCCCCAAACACATCCCTAACTGAAACCTCTGCTCCAGAAGAACATGGAAAAGGGTGGCCCAAGGTATATCATAGGCTAAGGTAGATACTGGTCAAGGCCAGAGGGCTGGTTCAGCTAGGGAAGGTGGATCCAATAAGACTTGAAAAGCTATGTGAGAAGGTACATATAGTTCACAGTTTCACTTTAAGTTTCAACTCCATTCAATTGGTATAGCTACCAATGAGCAGTAGTTGAGAAGGATTCCGTGGCCATGTCAGGGGTCAGGAGGGCAGGAGACACTTGTATTTGCTCAGTTGCGTTTCCTCAGGTAGGTCTGTGAGAAGGAGGCTGGTCACGATAGCTGGTGCTCGCAAGTGGCTCTCAGTACTATTGTCCTCAGCTTTAGGAATGAGCCACAGCCACTTAACAACCTGTTGTAAATGATTAATTATCGAAAGCATCCCTGGGCCAACAGCACAACCGCCAAGTAATAGCCAATATAGGACATCGTCAAAGTTAAGACGGTACCAGTGGGTTCTGGGTTCCAGGTAGGTGTCAGATCAGGGTTCACCAGGACAGCAAAGGTGGCCTGTCCTCGTGGAGGCACTGGCAGATGGCATGTAGCGCTCCAATTCAAGGCTTTCTCCCTCTTTCCAGACCACTCAGTCTGTTGTGACTGTCTTTCTTAGGAACTCAGAATTTGTCTTCTCAAATTCTTTTTGCCTTTATTGTTTTATGCTTATATTGATAATTCTCTCTCTGTCTCTCTTTTTTTTTTTTTTTTTGCTAATCCACTTTTTATGAGTTTATGTTTATTTTCCCAGTTAAATTTTAAGTGGCGTGAAGGCAGAGGCTGCATTTCATTTTTTGGTGTTCTCGTCACAGTGGTTTTAAACACTTTTAAGTGAAATGTTTGCTAAGGCCTTGTGTATGTATAAAAATGAAGCTGGATGGACTGACACTGTGAAGGAAATTTGGAGGCCCCTCTGGCTTCCTATTGCAACTGGAAAACTACTGCAGTTCAGCATTTCACATACACCATCCCTTGCACTATTATGCTCTCAGCAGATATCTATATACTTGAAAAGCCCAAAGAGGAGACAGCCATGCCAACATTTGAGGTTCTAACAGTATGTAAAATACATGTAGACATTTCCATTTCTAGACTTACTCTTATCATTACCCCTTAGCAGATGTTATTACAATTTTGTATTTTGAAACTGTAGTTAATATGTGCCTAGATCAAAGGGGACTCTATTTTCATGCTGTACTTTGTTTAATGAATGATCTTTCTTTTTTTTTTTTTTTTTTTTTTTTTTTAGTGTAACCAGTCTCTTGGCTAATGAGCTCTGCCTCTCAGGGAATTACTAAATGGTAACCATGTTTCTAAATAGTTTCCTTGCCTCTGGCATGAGTCTGTTTCTCCATCACTAGGGTTTCCATGTTCTTCCAAACTAATACAAAGTATAAAGGATAAGTATGCTATTTTATTTTTCTCCCAGAGGACTGTAATTGTTGGTCTGGTAGTATCCGGTGAGTGTGAAATCAGTTTACTTTTAATGCTATAACTGCCTTTTACAGGAAGTTTCCACAAGATTACAACCAGTACAAGGGAAATGAGCAGTCTGCGATTTCCTTTATTTTCAGTATAATCTTAGCAGGGAGGATGCTTACCAGGCCCCACACTACTAAATAAAGCACTCCTCCCTTAGCATCATT